GCACCAACAAGCACGCTCTCACAAACAAATATTTGCCACGCTCACGCCAGCACCCCCACAACTGAGCTCCCACGCGCTCTGCCTAACGTCTCCTGTATGGGACACTCCTCCAAGCCCTGACCAACTCTTCCTCCAACTAACAAACTCTTGCATTCAAGTCCTCTTATTTTTTTCTGCACTTCCCACAGGCTTACGCAATGTGCCACACAATTTCTTGTTCGCACAGTCCATGCCACCAAACCATGCTGCCGCCCTCCCAGCCATCGCAACCAGCCGACCAACGCACACTGCCCCAAACTGGGGATTTGAAAGACCTCCATCCACCCAAGTCACTCCAATAAAGCGTTTGCGCATCATGGCGATCTCCTCATCATCGCGACCAACTAGTGCAGACATTCGCTACAAAACGTCACGCCTCAATGTCAAAACGCGCACGCAATGTCTGCATGTCAACCCGATCCCATTACATTCAAACTCCACATCTTCTCCACCCTTCTGCAAGACACCGTCAAATGCGCCCCTCGCGAATCGTCCGTACATCCTGTCGGCACCCCCAAACACCAATACTTTTGAAGAGCCTTGAACTAGTTGTGACATCGCCGTGAAACCCAACAACGTATGCATTTATGATGCCAAGGCACAGAGGAATGATTACACGAGCACCATTGAGGGCAAAGCGAAAGATCCCTGATGAAGCGTGAGCCCTTTTGATGCACACTGAAGCCACATCGGTGCTCCATTACTCTTACTCTCCTCATCATGTGCCATGTCTCCCCATAACTAAACAGCTGCTCTGGACTCTAAATCCAAAAATGTGTCGCAAAATCTATGCTTTTACCGTTCGTTTACGCCTATGGCGTGTTTTCAATGACTTGGGTTGTGTCATCAACTGTAAAATTTGCCGGACCAGACACTTCAGCCAGCGGAGGCTCGTGCCCTTTATCAGCAACAGTTTAAGCCGGTCAATTCCTCTCGATGAAGCTTAACAACGGTGTGCGATAATAGCGCGTATCTATGGAGCTAATATACACAGATATGCCTGATTCTGCTCCAAGCTAGGCTATTTGACTTCATCACATTCCACTGTGCATATAGTTGCCCAAATATCCCACCGGCCTTCATATGCTGCTCGTAAGCATTTGAAGCATTGATATGAGATGCTCTCATGGTAAAAACCACCAGTGGTCAAGTTGAAGCTTAAAAGATGTGCTGTATAATTAGACTTAGCTGCGGTATCCTGCAATTTTTTTCCAGCAAATAATGTATAGTTCTTCACGGGGCACATAGCTCACGCCGCAGTGGTGTGCGCCGCCTGAAGTATTTTCTGCTAGACCTCGTTCTGCTGTCTTGTGGAGCGACCGTCTCCAAATGTTCCGAAAACATGTCAGCAGAAGGTACGTTGTAGCTAGAGCTGCTGCAAAGACCCCAAGCAGCAGCACCGCGTTGTTGCGCTTCTGCGACTTCCGTGGCCACCCAGGTCCGGAACCTGCTGGTATAGGCTGGTTTAATATAACCGTCTTAGGGAGTTCAAAATTTAGTGCCGAGTAAAGGAAGACGGGAGATGCTGTTGAGGTGAGCCACAGGTGTGAGTGAAGAGCTGGTTCTCCAGAATCACATCCAGTGGTGGCCATTAGAGTAGACAAAATAAGAAAACCATGAGTAGGCAAGATTCTTTGGCATTGTTTTGTGTGCTGCATTTCCAACAACGTTTACCATTCGAATCTGGTGTGCCTTTTGCTGTGTAAGTTAATCGATCACGATAGCATCAAAGAATTTTCACGCTTTGCGCTGCCCTTGGTCAACCAAATGTGCCAAATACACGACAGCAAAACACTCTACAGATATTCACAAATAACAACGGATTTCTGAATGCTGCGCTATGATACAGCGTCGAGTTCTGTCTTGCACGTGTCGAGCCCACAGCCGGACTCGTTGCCAGTGGTGCACTATGTTATAGTGCATAAGGTGGATATTTTCATTGGCTGAGCTGGCAAAGTCACAACTTTTGTAATTAGGTACTTGTGCTGACTATTTTAGTTAAGGAATTTTGTGCTTGGTTTCCAGCTAACCAGGATTGCCTGCTCTCAGGTCATACGATCCCTACCGCTGCTGCACTATAATTCATCTTTGTGAACAAGTCTTTTTCCGCTGATCTAAGAAAGCTTAACAAAAAGTAGAAATGAGATTTTCACTTGCACTGCTTTTCAAATAGCGCACTCTACCATCTAAGCTACTGTGTCGTCTCAGCCCCGAAGCCTCATCGTCCGCAGCCGGTCCAGTCACCAGAGGTTCTCCTCTGCAATTGTCTCCGCGATGCTAAAAGCGCATAACCATGAAATGAAAATAAATTGTAGAATCCACAATATGTTGTGAGAGTACATTATGCTTCAAACCGCTTGATTGAAACCCTCCTTCGATCCCTGCATGGTTTTTGTAGTGTGGTTCTAGGACGCGGTGACTAGGGATGGGGTAGCGGTGCCTACACAAGAGGAGGCTGAAATCTTTTGTAACATTCTGGGGAATGAGGGTAAGGAACGAAAAAGGTTTCAGTCTTCCCATCTTCTCCAGCAACGTCTGCCCGTGACCCAGAACTGAATGTTGCGTTGCGGGCTCTACCTTCTTACAGCAGTGGAACACAAAAATTCATTCTAGAACTCCTGCAGTTTCTTTTCTGTAGCGCCTTTATTTGCGTGTCTCGAATCCGCAGTTTGGGGCCATGAGCTACAGGCCAGTATGGGTAGCAGGTTGCAGTGAACTGATGAGGGCGCGTTCAGCTTCCACGAGTCCAGTCCGTTCCTTAACGGCTTTAGCGTCCTTTGTATGTCCGGCATTTGGCGAATTCCTACTGTTATTATTTCTAAGCCGCTGCTACTCTGCTGTCTGGATCCGTTGGTCGCCTGTAGTCACGCTATAAACCAAATAAACAACTTCATTCAACATGCCTTCTACATAATTCTTCCATACACAAAGTGGTTGTTCTAAAACAAAGCCTGGACGGCGAAGCGACGCCATATGGCGTGAACATGCACACTGCGCAGTGAGCGCTCAAAGAAGACAATTAAAGTTCAGGAGAGGAAGGCTTATGATGATGCACATCGAATATGTACCTTTAAAATTCAGTCGCAATCAAATGATGCAAAAAAAGGTCAGAGCTCAGCGTACACCAAATATTTCGCATCCTAAATGAATAAATTAAATGCACATTGTGAAATCAAATGTCACAGGAGTTGCCTCTTCTCGGTATTTTTATAAGTAGAATGTACGCATCAATATTACCCGGCTTGAAAATAAATAGCTTTCAGCGTTTTCGAGTGCATCAGCGGCTGGAGGGTACCCATCATGACAGGCTCCACAAAACCTTTCAGTCGGGCCCCTCCAAAAGTACGCAGAAATTGCTGTGAGCAACTGCACATTTCTCACTATTGCCGCCTGCGTCAAAACGACCGAAAATATGGTATGCCGATCTTACTCAGTTGGGGAGCAGGCGACTTGATTAAATAGCCGAAGACTTGAGTTCAGTACTATATTTTTGATAGTCAGAAAAATGTGCAAGCGCCACTTCTGTAGTATTTTATGAAACAGATGCGTTTCAAAGCGCTGGTCGCACAACCTAAAGCAACATCCACGGGTCTTGAAATTTCAGCCAAAGAAGGCAGTTTGTAGCACCGTGAGTCTGAGGCTTCTTATCAAGCAGATGATCCTTCAGACAGGCATCGAAAACATTTCTCTGCTAAAATCCACGCATAGTGGTAAATGTTGTATGCAATTACTTCTGGACTGCGCCCTAACACAAGGAATACTCACACGCTACACCTGAATTTTTATTAATCCAGCTTGGCTACTCATAACCGCTTTGATGAAATAAAGATGTGCGCAGGCTAGTCACTTTTTAGTTCAGTCCGCACATTTGGAATTCTAATAATGCTATTTGTGCTATAGGTTTAGTGAGTTCTTCTTTTATTGAAGCGTGGTCTTGCTTGCGTGTTTTTGAAACGAAGAAGAATTCGCTTAGAAATACTGCAAGAGATGTTTGGATTCACGATTTAGTACTGACAGACTGCTCACAAAAAGTTTCACAAAAGATAGTGTCTCCCTTAGTTTGGTTGAAAAGCAAAGATACCTACATGGTGCACCACCCTATGCCGCCGCTTCGGATTTGTTTTTCCCTGAACTAAATATCTATCATTTGCCTTGTCCAAAAGGAAAACAGATGGCGCTCTCTGTTTTGCAGCACTGGTAATTGCTACGATCGTGCATATGCCGAAGATTCACTGTCACTGTCTTGCAAAGTCCGATTCCAAAACCTACGTTGAGGATTGGGTCAGGATGAAACCCGCAACAATTGACGTACTGTCTGGCGACAAAAAAGACGCATAATCAGAATTCCGCCTGATGCCTAGAAAATGATCGCGCAGGACACTACAGATACTGAAAACTTGAAAAAGCAGAAAGCATTGGGGGCCAATATAAGACGCCGAAACAAAAGCCATAGTGTCAAACCAACATTTCCCGTGATATTCGGTTAAGGTACGAAAAGAACGAAACAATCATGGCTCGCAGGAGCACGCATCAATGGGTATACACCAGGGACTTACCCTCGGTGAAACCAAGTTTAGCTGCCTCCTGCAAAACGGCCGGCACCGACGCAACGAACCACCAAGGCTTGACCTCAAATACAAATAGACTAGCGACAAAAGTTTCGTGGAGGACGATGCTTTCCGGCCCCAAGCAAGGTCACCTGTTGCAGCGTCGTCCGCTACAGCGAATATGCACTGCCTTCAAACTGAAGTGATATGCACTTCACGCATCGCAACACAACAATTATTATTGCCACTAAACAGCATAGCTGCTCCTTGCACATCGTGAAAGGCCAAAACGAATGCGAAGTTTGAAACAATAAGGGCCACAAACTCACCATGCGTCGGCAAACACACACATGCCACAGCGCGGTAGACTAGCGAACATCTTCAAGGTGCATTTAGCAACGTCTGCAGTTTCATATGCAACTATTACAGTAATTGCCTAGCGAGTGCAGCAATGCAGTACATCCGCGCATAGATGCGTTCTTGACTTGCTCGTGTTTACCGAAGGTTCCAGCTGCAGCCTGCTGTTGGGAATCAGCCCGACCAAGAAGGCATGAAAACTCTGCATTGAGGAGCTTCAGCTTTTATCTATATTGCCAGCTGCGAGCAGTTTCTTGCTGCTGCACCGTAGTGCATGGCACTTGCAAAAGGCGTTTGTTCATTAAACAGCGACGGACGCCAACTTCGCGAAGAGAAGAGCACAGACCTGCTGCCTGTGTACGCGCCGTCACTTCTACTGCTTCCAGCACTTTGAAAGAGTCAAAAAAACACACATGCATCAAAATAACGCGCGGTTAGAAGCACAGTCAGGCG